TGAGAGCCCCGCTGAGACTGTGTCCAGGAGTGTCCAACACAGGAAGGACGTGGAGCTGTTGGAGGGGGTTCAGAGAAGGGCCACGAAGATGATCTGAGGGCTGGAGCAGCTCTGCCATAGAGACAGGCTGAGAGAGCTGGGGCTGCTCAGCCTGGAGAAGAGAAGGCTCCAGGGGGACCTCATAGCACCTTCCAGCCTGAAGGGGCTACAGGAAAGATGGGGAGGGGCTTTTTTTACCAGGGCATGTAGTGGTATGACGAAGGGAAATGGTCTTAAGATGAAAGAATGTACATTTTGGTTAGATATTAGGAAGAAGTTTTTGGTGTGAGGGTGGTGAGGCACTGGAACAGGTTGCCCTGTGGATGCCCCCTCCCTGGAAGTGTTCAAGGCCAGGCTGGATGGGGCTTTTGAGCAACCCGGCCTAGTGGAAGGTGCCCCAGCCCATGCAGAGGGGTTGGAACTAGATTATTTTTAAGGTCCATTCCAACCCAAACCATTCTATGATTCTGTGATTTTATATAGGGATCTAATCCCACACTGAAAAGACCGAGGTGCAGCACATAAGTGCCCACTCTTGCTATTTGCAGGCAATAACTGGCTTGACTTTTCCACAGGGAGAACATGAAGCTGCCTGGGAAGAGCTGAGAGGCTCCCCTTGGTGCTGCTGCCCCTCAGAGCCAGCTCCTGCAGGTCTCACCTGTGCCCCTCCAGGGCAAGGGTCTGCCAAGTTGGAGATGGAGCCCTGGGAGGGGGAGGGTGGGGGAGATGGCGGGCAATGCCCCAGGTGCTGAAATGCCTCCTTGGTTTATGCCAGTTTTTTTCAGTGCTCAGCTCTTCCTTGCTTTCTGCCTCTCGTGCTGCAACGGTGCAAAGCTTGCTCTTTCCTACTGCTGGGAACTGAGCAGGTGTTCCTGAGCCTCAGCTTCTGGTAGAAAGGTCTGATTGCCTGTTGTCTTACAGCCTGCTGAGCTGCACTGGGTTCTGTGCTGGGGACACACCATTCCGTTCTTCCAAAGTGGTATCTCAGTGGGATATACACCCTGCACAACAACTTCCTTTTTCAAATACTGGCTGTATGTGTTGGGCTTCTGTAAAGGACTGAGCTGTTGCTCTGTGGCTCAACATGGTTCTCTTAAACATTACTTTAGCTTGTGTAAAGGAAGGAAACCTCAGGGCTTGAACAGACTTTATATGCAAGCTTGTTGCTTTGGCTTGTATGAAGGAAAGAAACAGAAAAGTTAATGACACTTCACATTAGCATGAAGATCGTGTTAAGCCTGAGAAGCTCAAAAACTGTCTGAGGCATGAACACAAAGCACAAAATTGCCTAAGTCGTGAAGACAAAACACAAAACCAACTGAATCACGAAGGAGGAGGCAATGGAAGTTAGCCCTGACCCAAGAAGAGGTGGAGAATGGATGGGGACAGTGACTCTAAAAGGGCTATGCCACATGAAAGATCTTCTCCACTGACTGCAGCAACCGGACCTCTGGGACACTGCTGAATCCATTGTAATAACTATCCTATCTCTTGCAATTCTCAGTATTTCTGCTTTCTCCCCTCCTGTCTTTCTTTCTGTCGTATCCACCTCAGTGACCTTTATTCCGTAACTTCAATAAAGTTGGGTGTGTACATGACATCTTACTTTGTTTGTGTCTCAGTTTCACCATTGTGATCATTTCAAATCTAGTTGCTCGGCACAGCTTTGTCTCTACAAGCAAAATGAGCAGGAAGCATTTCAGACTGAAAGCCCAAAACCCACAGGCTTAAATTTCCATGTTTCTGAGAAAAAAACTTCTGTCTTCAGCTGCTGAGTGAAGTTTTCCAGTCATACTGTGATTAAGTGCATGGACATACCACCCCTAGTCAGAAATCATCCTGAAGAGTAAAGCTGCCGACATACAAAGAGTAAAGGCAGATAACAGATAAACAGGCCGGGAGGTTTTGTATGTGAGCAGATCAGGACAGCCAGTGTCGACCTGGCCTGGAGGTGTTTGCAGTTAACATCATTTTGTTAAGCTCTGTGTATTTTCCATTTAAAGGATAAACTGTTATTTAAATTCTCCCAGGCCAATACCTCAGTTAGTGTTTTTTAACTCAAGAAGCATCTTCATTACTATAGCACCAATTAATTATACTTCCTCCATAATATCTTTTTCCTTTAAAATTCATACTACCAAAAAACTGTTGATTTCTTATAACATGACCACTGAGCTTAAATCCCAGGCACAGTTCAAGCAACACCTCTTGTATTTCTTTTATGCTTTAGTAGAAGAAAGCTCTCTAAGCCATGTGCACACTCTGTGTCATGTACTCTGCAATAAACACATCCGTTACTGTGATTCTTTGAATTTTCTAGCACACGGGGCTTTGTGGTTTAATCTGATGTGTGTGTTCTTGCAGGTTGCTCACATATATTGGTAAGAAACGCTACACAATTCCTGATCTCTAGCATAGAAATCTCCACGAAACCTTTGTGTTACTTTGAAAGTTTTTTTGAGTCTGATTTTGGTTTCAGGGCTCAGAGAGAGGATTAGGCCTTATTTTAACCAGTTCCTCTTTTATGAGTATTTGCAACGTTCTGCATTTCCTGCTTCTGCGCTGCCTTTTTATGGTATGTCTCACTCACTGCTCCTCTAGGCACCTAGAATAAACATATTTATCTCTTCCACAGTCATTTCAAATCACGTTATCAGTGATGATATGTCTGACTCTGCTCATAAAGAGTCCAAAGCACAAGATAATCTGAAGAAGGACTGAGGCATTTTAAAGGAAGACATCAAAGGCCTACACAAGCTACTGTTAAGTCCTTATCTAACCCTGCGGCACTTCAGGCTTTCCCTCCTTGAAACTTCCTCAGTTGACCACAATGGTGCTACTGCCCAAGCCACAGTGTCCTAGCACTGTAAACACTCATAACTTAGTGCGTTCTCTCACCTGAGCCAGACATGCTATTCTTCCACTTTCACACTTCAAAGCTCATCAACAGCTGTTCTCAGAGCTCAGTAGACCCATGGAAACTGGATTAGAACCTCTGAAAGTTCAGTTCCAGCTACCAGTTTTAGGACAAAAAGAGTGTTGTTCCCGTCACGTGCCTACCACATATACTTGCCTAGGCATGCAAAGCCATTTCTTCTGCTGGGGATCCCCTCTTTCCAGGAAATCATCCAAAACACTGGAGCATAGTCTGCTTTGCATGGCTTATTTCCCCCACACTTCAGCACACTTCTGGCTTAACCTGAGCACCAGGACCTAAATACTTTAGCTGAACCTGACTACAAGCATACATAGGATTATTACTCACTTCCAGCCCCTGCTTCCAGTAGTCTTCAGTACTTTATAGTACACAGTGTTCATGTGAGAAAAAAAATAGTGGTTTCAATTAGGTGCCAGTGTGTTCT